AAAGAGCCCGTCTCTCACACTTCCCGAACATTTCCGCACAATATCTGTAGCCTCCGTTTCCACTCGCCTATTGCATGGTATTCTCTCTGAGTGCTGGATTTCTTCCTTTCCATCTGACCGCCTACAATTAGGTTTTCTCAGGAAAGACGGCTGTTTTGAGGCCCCATCTATCCTTCATTCCATGATCGGCTTCTCTCGCACCCACTGCTCCCCCTTCTCTTTCGCCTCTGTGGACATTGCAAAGGCCTTTGATTCCATCTCTCATGACTCCATAATTAGAGCTGTAGCTACTTTTGGGGCCCTAACTTTTTGTTGATTACCTGTCTTCCTACTATTTCTCGTCAATCTTAACGTTCCGAGAGGCTCGAATTCATCCAGAGCGAGGCGTTAGACAAGGGGACTCACTTTCACCTCTACTTTTCATCATGACACGACGAACCTCTTCAAAAGCCAGCCTGCTGTCGATGGATGTGTCCCGCAGGCCCGGTTGATTATATTGCATACGCGGACATCGTGATCATCGTAGCGCAAAACAAGGTTGCACTACAGGAACGACTCTTAGCTTTTAACGACGACCTCCAGCTTATTGGTTTTTCCATAAGCCAAATGAAAACTAAGACAGTAAATATCGTCATTGATACATCCAAACAGAATGCGTTACTGGCCACTTCAGATCTTCAAGTGGGATCGATGAATCTTCCATCAGTCCAACCGACGGATTCGTTTGAGCTCCTGGGTTTACCTTTTAACTGACACGGTAAGCTACCGCCTCACTCCCTCGATGAGCTGCGTCAGCAAATCCAGAAAACTTCGCAAGCACCATTAAAACCACACCAATGGAGCGAAATTCTCAGGACCTTCCTCATTCCACAACACATCCACCGCCTATCGCTGGCAGTGATACACCGATACACACTCAAAACGATGGACAAATTAATCAGGGTCAACGTTCGCAAATTGTTAAGGTTACCCAAGGATACAGTCGTTGCCTATTTCCATGCATCCACCATTGACCACGGCTTACGTATTCCTAGTCTCTCAACCATGTTGCCATTACTTCGAAAAGATAGATTTGGGCGACACCTTTCCAACACGAATGCCATCCTGATCTGGGCCATTCGTGACCACTCTGCCTCTGCGATACATCGGCTAGGTAATTCGCTACTCCTCGTAGGTGGGTAAACTGTGACGGATAAAGCCTCAACAGGGGAGGCGAGGGAGACTCGGTTACTTAATACCCTTGACGGATCCCATCTACGTCAAGCTTTCACGCACCCAATTGCCCAGCAATGGCTCCAGCAACCTGCACGCGTCTTCCTGCGTCTATTTATCAGGACAACTCAACTACGCGCAGGCGTCCTTCCTAGAAAAGTCAAACGAGCCTGAGATAAGCCTCCGTGTTCTCCATCCGATCTCATTTGTCGCGGTGCATGTGGGCAACACGAATCAATCTCTCACGTGCTCCAATCTTGGAGCGTAACCCATGATGCACGCTGCAAACGGCACATTGACTGCCAATCAAGGTGCTACGCCGTCGGGGAGCTACAGTCATCCCAGAACCACGCACCCCCACACAAACGATTTACATCAAACTAGATATATCCATCTGCCGAGACGCTATTATCTACGTGACGGATATTGCTGTCTGTGACGCACACTGGATGACCCAATTTTACTAAAATTGATAAACACGACGTCGTTGTTCACGCACGGCCATCAGAAACTACACACAAACTGCACTCCCGGCAATCTCTATTGTACATTATCCGCTCATCTTAAACAATAAAGGATATGACCATCTTGCGTCCGCAAAGCACATGCTGTCATTGAGACTCTCGACCTTGAATATTTCCGATCTGTACATCTCCACCATCCGAGTAACCATACGCGTGTATTATGTTTATATGCGAGGTTCAGTCTATCAAAAACAATCACTATAACAACACAAACACTGACACGTACTGGGCGTACGGTTCTTGGCCAAGTTCCCCGAGCTTTTATTGTGCCATTTGCTTATTATTATGTCGGGGCAATCGTCCTACCTTGACAAATTACTGTGCTGCTCATTTCTCAAGTCATACATGCCTTTGCCCAAAATAAATGTTCATCGATTAGTCACCAAGTCTGAGCACCAGTTCATTAGCATCTTGGATTGTGGCGAGATTGACGCTTATGCCCATCTTAATTGTCCAGCTTTTATCCGGCTCTATTTGGTGTCGACCTGAAGGTGAACTCAATTGAAGTTAGTTTTTGTAGGTACTTAATGTTACTTAAATAGAACCGTAGATCTTAGATCCACTGTGTTTTGAAGAATTTAGGCTCGATCCTTAAGAGTACTTCAGCAGTATGGCCCAGAAAAGGCTTCAGAGAGTTGACTTTGAAGAAAAAGATTAGCCTGCTACATTTTCTAGAAAGCGGTAGCCAAAAAAGATGACAGGCCATTTTGGTGTCAGGAAGACAACATTTATCAACATCCAAAGGCATAAACACGAGTACTTGGAGTGATATGATAGTGTAAGATATCTACAGCGGAAGAGGCGGAACACCACACGATGAACACAAGTATGTTACGCCGCGCTGCTTTGAGCAAATGGGAGCAGCTACCGCTTGAATTTCTGGGCCGATGATCCAAGAAATTGCTAAAAGGTTCTCAAAAGAATTAGGGATTGCAGATTTCCAGGCATTCAATGGTTGGCTAGAAAAATTTAAACTCCGATATGAACTTTCCCAAAGAGTTTTTGTGGTGAATCCAGTGAAGTGTCTGAAGAGTTTGTTCCAGTCTACATCGACAAATTTTCCAATTTCAGCAAGAGCGTTTACAATGACGATATTTTGACGAGTACGATCTCTTTTTCTGGGCGATGCCCAACGGAAGCTTTGTTATAAAGGGTGTCAAATGTACTCATGGAAAACATTCCAAAGTAGCTTTTATCGTCCTGTTGTTTGCTAGCTCAAGCGGGGAAAAGCTAAAGCCGCTGCTCATTGGTAGATCACCTAGACTACGTGCGTTCAAAAACCTAAATTTTGAAAAGCTTCCAGTCATGAAATCAAACCGATCTGCGAAGATGACTTCTGTCATAGTTGAGGAGTGGATCAGAAGCATCGACAAAGAAATGTAGAATAAACGCTTCATTAACCTAACAGTGGACAACTGTCCTAGTCTCACCCATGTAAACAATCTCACAAATATTACACTTAAGTTTCTTCCTGCAAACATGACCTCACAAATTAACCTCTGGATCAAGGGCTCAACAAAATATTCCAAATGCACTACCGAGCCCAGCTCATGCAATAGACCATGGCAAAATAGCATAGTAAAGATTATCATGCAGAAGGAACTTCATCGGTTGCTTCAGTTAATGTCTTGGATGCTGTATTTGGATAACTTCCGAATGATTCAAAATTCAACCAGAAATAATACAAAAGTGTTTTAGGAAAGCCGGATTTGTTCAACTACTCGAGCGGGATGTCCTCGTCTTACCTGACATTCCATCTTCATTGTCAGAATTCGACGGAATGGATTTTAAACAGTTTGTTTAAATGGATGATGACTTCGTAACTTGCACTGAACCAGACCCAGATGCTATTTTCCAAGAGATACTGACTGTAGTACCCCCTACGGAAACAAAGAACAAACACTTAATGATGCTGATGAAGAAGAAGAACTGAGTGACGATGATATGGAAATAACAGCAACTCCAAAAGCAGATGAATTCAGACATCTTTTAATGCGACGGAAATCCTATCTTTCAGAGGTAATTCATCGCGCTCTCCTCTCAGTCAGCAGACCTTTACACGTCTTGAGGAGCACCGACAGCTGTGGAAAAATGTCAGAGCATGCTGAGTAGTGCGGCTTGTGCTGAGAACGATTTTTTCATTTACCTTTGTAATAAGAAAGAAACCGACGAAGACGGACTTTTTCTTCGAAAAATGCATACCACGTTTTGATTTATTATGACACTGTATGGTTAAACGGCATTTGCCATTACGTGAGACCTCGCCTAGTGTGTTCAAAACGGATTTATGTGGGAATGAATTTCATACTTTACTACTCACAGCGGGAAAGAAGGTTACGCTAAGTTTTGGCACAGAACCATCGTATGTTGACCACTTCTCTACATTGACCACTTTGGTCCAGTCCCTTGAGTGGTCAACTTACGGAGGTTTTACTGTAATTAGCCTAAAATTGCATTTTCCAACTGTTGCCAACCGTTGGGAGAGTACGCAGAGTCAGTTTTTCGCTTACTGAGAGCGGTTCCTATTAACCGTAGATGAAGCTGACTACAGTAACCCATTTTTGCACCAGAATTGTGCATATAGAGCCCATGAATACGCGAACCATGTTGCAGTTAATAGAAACCCAAGAGGAGTCAGTGTCCACATACAAGGGGGCAACCCCGCGCGTTGGCTACGGTGCGCGTAAGCTTGCCGGGAAGCACGTACTCAGTCAGCTGCGTGTGAAGGTTCACGCGAATGCGCGAGGAACAGCGTTCGTGTTCTGCCAAATTTGGGAATCAGGCGAGGATTGATTGGCCAGCGAATTCAGGCCGGCGTCCGGAGTTTGAGCGGAATAGAAGGCGGAGGCGAACTATTCTGCCAAATATGACAAACCAGTGGAACGGCTGAGGGCCAGATGCCGAAGAATGAGTAACCATGCTTTCCAAACTTAGTATGTACGGTTCATTACTTAGTAATAATAATAGTGACGACCTACTCTGTAGAATATACGCTGTCTACCGAGCCTTGTGTTTTTGCTTTTCTTCGGTTGGTTGGGCACGTGATTGAGCAGATAGGTGGTCGCAGTTTCACAGGCGAAGCAGCGTAGCAGTACCACACAGGCGACAATAGAGATTAAGCATAGACATCGTTTCCACAGCTACTGTAAACATTTCACAGTAAATTATAATATTTTCGAACCTACACACACAACGTGCGCAAAATGACATAGCTAACCGCTTTTATGCTTTTTCTATTGAAGCCGTGATTATGAGCACTTTGGGATGACTGCGCCCTCGTTTGAATTAGCTGACGAGATCTCCAAAAGTTTGCATGACTGTGAAGTCATGTGGGCCAAATTTGAAAGTTTCATGCTGGAGCTAGAAGAATTTGCTAAAGAAGACTGGATTTCTTTCAAGTAAGTTAATGTTGGGTCGTTTAATCATGCGGTTAACTGTTATTTCGGCGAAGACCCCTCAAGTCCCAGGACTTTCTTGCACATTTTCAGATCTAAGACTTACTTATTCGACGAATTCCTGACGCAATGGTTCAACCTGCTACGAACAAGTGAGGTGAATCCAGTGTCTGTTAGAATCCAACGGGAAATTGACCAGTATCGTGTAAGTCCATCAGCCTTTTTCCAAATGGTATCTAGCCTCGAATTTCTGAATAAAACTACCAACCAGTTGGAACCATTTCCACCTCGTCAGCTTTCTGTTCCACAAAAACGAGATCTTCTTGGTCCCTCCTGCCCCTCAGTTCGTTAACGCACCCAATACCACGAAAGTTGTCGGGCTGCATCCTGCACACTATGCAACAGTGCAAATTCAAGTTAGTGTGACAATCACTGCAGCCACTACACCTTCGCTTTATGGCACAGGCTAGTGTGCACGTGGTCCTGGTTGACCATCGCCATCCCGTCGATATACACCAAGTGCCTGCGTATATAACAGAATAATTAACTCCGTTGGTGATTCATTCGATTATCAGCTTCATGTGCATGGGGCGTTTACTCCATGTAGATTGTAACTAACACAATTCCTACGGTCATTTTTTGGCTCAGGTGCAGTTTACTTTCATGGATGAGGTGCTGCACCAGTTCTCCGTCCGGATTTTTATGGACAGACAAATGGTGCTCTGTGGACATGACCGCCTGGATAGCCGTTTTCATGTCCCATGTAGGTGCGTCTCAGACAACAGGCCCCGAAGATAGTCCACTCGTTTTGACCTGACACTAACCGGTGGACTGATGAAACCGTAAATTTTTATCCAATAAATCCTTCACGCCGGACGAGTAAATGTAGGTCTCTTTGCGATGAAATGCTCTCTTAGGTGATTATCACTACAGACAGCCTTTGTGATTCTCAAAATTCATTTATATTACATTCTTGCCTCTAAAACCGGACCGTTTGCCGAAGAAGCTTATAGTCTTGGTTCATTATCTTCCTATTCCACAGGAGTTTACACCGTGCCTCAAGTGGCTCCGCGGAGAAGCATTGTCTCAAGAACACTGGCTTGACGCCTTTCGTATGCTTGGACTACCAAAAGACACCAGCTTGGTGAAGTTGAACTTCGGTGACCTGATCCGTGTCAGCAAACAGATCGTTGAGCATTCGGATGAGCTTAAAGCACTCAGTCAGCGCGCTCAGTCCGAGGTGATCGTG